TTTCTGTACGATCCTTTTCCTATCGCATGAATACTTTTGGAAGACGGTGATTGATGCAACCAAAGGAACCGATAACGTCAAGGCGAATGTTTTAATTCTTTTTATTTTTACCATTCCAGTAGCCTTCTTTTTTACGTCCCCACCCTTGCGACGGTGTCTTGTGGCTGGAGGACCCCGAAGTCTGCCACTTCGTAAATAAAAAATATATTTATATATTTATATATGCATCCTATCTGAATGAAGCGTTCAACATGTCGCGGGAGTGGGGCCACCATAATGTATAAATATATAAATCTGCGGAGCAAACAGCGAGGATTTGGCGAACCCACTGCCTCTCCATTGACTCATTCTCCCTTTCCGTCGTATTTTATTTCTTTAGGAAATTTGAGTATCCGACCAGCAGTCCAGACGAGTATTCCTTCCTTTCGCTTTCCTGTTTGCGTGTGTGCCACAGGCACGGTTTGATTCAAGTGGCATTGGCGCCTCCACGCAATCACATCCTTCTGTTGCCGCATTTGCGGGGCAATTGGGTTTGGTATCCAGAGCACACACACACACACACATCCGCAGCAAAACCATAACTTGCATCCCTCCCATCCGCAGCCAAAAAGACTCCTCCATTGAGCCACACAGAGACAGGGTCAGGGCGGAATTAGTTTAAGTCATCTCTTTATTGGTGGCTGCCACGCGAAGCAACAGCAGTCGGGAAAAAAAAAGCAGGGACCAAAATTGAACAAATAGGTATGACAAGGAAACACCCCATTTTTTCCTTTTTTACTTCGTCCGCTAACGGTGCACGTTGCCTGCAAAATTTGGTGCGCACGACAGCAGGGGGTGCGGCCCCCGTTCGGTGAGAAGAGCATTGAAGGCCGTGTCGCGCACTCGCGCTGCCTCAACTCCACACCAGACTCCAACGTGAGGGCCCCAGCAGCACTAGACTCCGGAAATGAATTCACAACAGCCTCTACTATAATTGGGGTGGCCTTTATCCGACGTTGACGCACGGAATACGTTCAATGCGGCCACAAGAAAAATAACTGAGGCGTTTGCCGACGCGTAGTTGAAGGCAATGCCACCGCAGAGCAACTCCTCCACTATAAGACGGATGGGACCCTGTCGAGTGGACGTGGAACTCGTCAGGCTGGGGTACGTGGGCACATCAATAGCCCGGTAAAAGACTCCTCAAAGACAACATATTATACACGTGAGGAGAGAAGGACACGTGGCAGGGCCACCTTGTACGATAGGCCTATCCCTCGAAGCCGCTCTCGTGCCAAGTAATCAAAGGAAAGATTGCATTGACACCGCTCCATTGTTTTGCCGCAGTCCACAACGGCCCGCACGTCCCTCGTCACTAGCGAAGAGGGGGATCGCAACCAAATTGAAAACATGCACCGTGCCGCATCATACGACACGTTCATATCATCGTCGATGTTGAGCACAGCTTCGGTGCGGAAGAGAGAGGCGACAAGCCAGCGATTCGCCACGGAATTGGATGGTTGCCACACCTCGATTTCAACGCAAGCAATTCGTCTGGCACCGTTTCCTTCACGCCATTCCACACGAGCAGCACCTCATGGACAAGACTCTCATCCTTCGGCCAATCATACAGAGTGGCCTTCAAAACATGCAACAAACAATTTCTTCGCCTCGTCATTGGATATGACACCACCACTACCGTTAACGAGTCCTCATGAATGTTGCCTTGAGCGGCAATAAGGGCGATCACTTTGCTCACCGTCGGCTGCGACGGCAGAGCAGGCTCAGGGTCCGTTTGCAATGCCCACACATTGAAAGGAAAAGTAAGAAGCGCCAATACAAAAAGTGCAGATAGAACGGGACGCAATACGCCAACAAAGCCATGATGGGCACGTCGCCGCCTCATCCTCACACCCCGAGAAGAATAAAAAGGGAAGAGGAAGAAGAGACTCCGTCAAACCCTCCCCAACACTTCTCTAATGCCGCGTGGAACAAATAATGAAGACGGGAGAGTCAGGACACACATTTATATAAACGCACACATAAATATATGCAATGCATATATTATATATGTGGTATGTACATGTATCCCTCTTTCCTCCTCCCTATCCTCCTCCTATGCATTATTTGTTTGTATTTCCTTACCATCCCTCTCGACCACGTTTACTCCCTTTCCAGCCTGTGTGCACATGTTCCATTCATCACTTCTCACTCCACGTTACCTTCATTCCTCCCTTCTATTGTTGTGTGATCCTTTCCTTTCCTCCGTCTTGATGAGGAATAGATGGAGACCTCATCCACCGCACACACACACACACACACAGGGAGTGGGAGGGAGAACCGCCGTGCAGTCCCTCCGTGGCCCCCATCTTCCCATCGCCGCGGAGGGAGGCAGCAGCCGCACACAGCACCGGCAACGCCGAGGGGAGCGGTGCCGCCGCAGCGCCCTAACAATGCATTTGTGCCTGTGCCTTACAACCCGCACCCGCAGCAACAAAATATAAAAGTGAAGGGCATGCCAGAACACAGCCGCAAGAGGAGTTCGACGGCTGGGCCACAGACGGGGCGGCGGGTGGCGTCCCACACACACAGTGAGGCACGGCGCACACCATCCGCTCTCCTCCGAGTACGCTCAGCAGGCCGGCGCCCAGTCACCCTCGTGCCATCGCAGAGGGGAGCACAAACAATCGTCGTCGCGGACCATCGGCGCCTCTAGCGGGAAAGAAAGCAGAAGAAATGAGGGCATGTCAACAGCACAGCCAGCAGAGGGACACTCAACGGGAAAAGAGACGAAAAGTGACAGCAGATACGGTAACTACAGAAACACGTTGCAGGGAATCACAAAAAAACAAAAAATGAAACACAAAAAAAAGGATGAGAGTCTTGCAAGATCCCCGGAAAAAAAAATTAATTTGGCAAACACTTCATGTGCAAAGCAGCACAAGGCAATCGGGTGTCTGTGTATATAAATATTGCCCGCACAAAAAATAAAAATAAAAATTGGAGCAAAAACAGATCTTGCTGTTCCACCAGCCCACACAACATCCTTCACATTTCATGCGGCATCCGGCCTGTTCCTCCAATCCTCCTTTCGTGCAGTCCGTGGGACGCACAGCCGAAGGGCCGGCAACGCATGTGGTCAAGAAAACAAACAAAAAGATGGAGAAACGCGTCGCTCATTACAGTGTGCAGCAAACGGACATTACGTAAAGAAAAAAAACAGTAATTACTCCAGCTGAACTAAATTAAAAAAAAATTTAAAAGTAAATAAATAGCGGAGGCATAAAAAAAGAGGGCAATGCGGCATGTATTCTCCGTGAGGCGTCGCAATTCCACACTCTGTGGCTCAGAAGACTGCCACCACCCAAACACAATCCCATTAGAAGCAGCAACACACAAGACAAGACACACACACACGCACGGTATTGTTACCGCTCAAGTCACGCAGTGTCAATTTCACTTCGTTGAGAGAGGCGAGGCGGTCGTCGGGACTCACGCCGCTCCACACCCTGAAAGGCGACTGTTTTTAGTGGTGACTCGTTTCCAGTGGCATTGCGTTGTGCCCATTCATTTCCCTTCTCCAATATTCCCAGCAACGTGCTCACTGACGCTGTCGACTACTCGAATCCTCTCGGGTGGTGTCGGGGCCGCTTCTCTCGTCGGAGCGGGGACCCTGTCCTTGGGTGCACGCATCGCAGTGGAATTCAGTGGGCGGCTGTACGGAAAGACGTCCGTCACCGTCAAACGAGATTCGTGCCCACCGCACGCCCCAAAGCAAAACCTCAGGACATCAGGTGGCCTCTCGCCTGCTAACGGCACCTCTTCCTCCCACAGCGACTCACCATCAATGTGCACAGAGGTCTTGTTGCATTGCAGCATGAGTGCCACTTGGTATTCTTCCTTCGGCTCCCGATTGCTGCTCCGTGCTTTTGTCTTGCCTTCGAACGCCGTCTCCCACTTTGTATTATGGCTGCACGACAGTCCCACGGTATGATTGGACGCAGTGTCCGCCAGCATCGCGGTCAGCAGAGGCGTGTTCCCACTCGGAGTCACTTCGATGGTCACCGACGCTACAAGTGTGGAGTAGTGGCTCAAGGATACATGACGCACTTTATCACTCCGAGTATTCACAGGCCATATTGCCCTGGACTCAAGTCCCGTCAATTGTAACCCATCGCTGTCCTTCGTGGCGTTCCTCACCGTTGCATTCAAGCAAAGGTACTCGTCGTTCCACGTGTCATCACTGACCGCATCGAAAAACACTGCCACCAGACCCACCGTGGGTATAGACAAGCTGGAGAAGAAAATGTCCTTTGGCGCCCAGGTACTGAGGACAGAATCGAT